AGAAATAATTAACACATTGTCTTCTTCCCAAATTATCAATCTTTCTTCCCTCATATTGGTTTCATAAAATCATCCTAATCTTTATTTCATTCAAAAGATAAACATAACTAAAGGAGAAGTCCCAGGATATCCCAAAGACAAGTCAACATATGAAAAACTACTCAAAGCCATTAGACATCAAGAAAATGGAAAGAGGAAAATTAAAACCACAAACTGACATTAACAGTACCTACCTGGCAGGTAGAAATGGCAAAACCGATTGTAATAGCAAGAAGTGGGAAGCTAAAGTGCTCACATATTGTGTAGTGCAAGGTTAAATAGATTATTTTGTGAAACTTTTATGGCACATGCTAATCGTGAGGTTATGTATATGTACTACCAGCAATTTCACTCCAAGTTACACAACCAAATGGAACGAATCCATGTAGTCACTGAAAACATCAGTCAATAAGTTTCCTAACAACACAAGTCTAATAGGCCAAAGCTAACAACTCAAACATTCATTAACAATAAACTGGATACACTCTACTGTGTTCATACAATGCAATATTATACAGCTGTGAGAATCATTAAACTACTACCTGAAGATAAGGTGACTGTCATAAAAATAATACTGCTTTTAACGAACCAGAAATCAGAGGACATAGTACTTACCGGGCATGACCTGTTTCTCGATCAGGGTTCTAGTTGCATGGCATGCCTGCTTGGTAAACATTCTTGTGCCATACATTTGGGTTTTTGGTTGTTTTTTTTTTAATTTTTCCATTTGTGTTTTACCTAAGGTATAATGTTAATTTTAAAAAATATTTGAGAAAGTCCACTATTACATCCATTCATCTACCTACTGCCCATCCCACCCACCCTGCTTTCAATTCTGTTACTGGGGATGAACTGTTCATACTCCCGGCAAAGGCAAACCTTCCTTCCTTCTGGCATATAAATAAACATGCCTCTATTTTCTTTCTTTGATTACAAAGATGTCATTTGGGCAAGACTACCCCTTACTCCCACATTTTTTTTTTCTCTTGGTTGCATCTTTCTCATCAACAAGTAATCATCACAGTTCCATTTTTTAAGACAACCACCTCTTGCACTATTACTTCCTCCTTTTCTTACTTTATAGTAAAATTCCTCCATGAATATTCACCTTTTCATGGACCCAGCATGATGGCTCAATTGACTAGTCCTCTTCTCCCATCCCACAAGTGCCAGCAACCCATATGGTTGCCAGTTCAAGTCCTGGCTGCTCCACTTCCCATCCAGCTTGTGGCCTGGAAAAGCAGCAAAGGATGGCCCAAGGCCTTGGGACCCTGCAGAAGACCCAGAAGACGGGAGACCCAAAAGAAGCTCCTGGCTCCTGACTTCCGATCAGCTCAGCTCCAGTCATTGCAGCCACTTGGGAAATGAAATCAGTGGATGGAACATTTGTCTATCCTTCTCTCTGTATACCTATTTTTAAAAAAAAAAAAAAAATTAAAAGAAAGATGAATCTTTAAAAAAAAATACTTGCCTGTACTGAGTCCTTTTGCCCTAACATCCTCTTTGAGCCATTTCTAATCATCCCGCAGATTCATCTTATCAAGATGATCTTCGCATTGTTCAGTCATCATTTTCCTGGCCCTCATCCTACGATTCTCAGGCTTCCGTGTAGTCATCAGCTCTGCCTTCCCTAAGACAGCTTCTCCTCCTAGTTCCTAACCATCCTCCTTCCCCAGCTTCCCTTCTCTTACACCAGTTGATCCTTTCCAGACAGTTGTAGTTAGGTCTTCTCTATCTATCTGATCTCTGTCATTCTGGGAGGGCCAGAATTCAGCTGGGAGCCCTTTTCCTGTTTCTTCCTCCAAGGCTCTGCTATGATTTCAGGGCACGTCCAGGGGTTTCTGTACTGGGAACCAGCCTCCAGTGTGGTTTGGTGAGAGGTGGGGAGTCACTGCAATGCTCCCCTTGGACATAGTGCCTTTCTCGTAGGCACCTAGTTAGTTCTCATGGAAGGATTGTTATAAGTGAACAGAATTGGCCCTTTGCTTGTTCTCTGGCTTCCAGTCTTGCTGTGTGAACTGTCACATGTTCCTATCATGATACCACATGTCATAATGTGACACAGCCAGGAAAGCCCTGATCAGAACTCAATTAGTGGAGTTGCTCTTCTCTGACTTTCAGCCTCCAAAAACTAGCAACCACATAAGCTGCTGCTCTGTCAGGCACCCAGCTGCAGGTCTTTTGTTATAGCAACAGAAACTGACTGACACAGGCTGTGATTCAGTGTCATCAGATGATGGCACATTCTATCAGCTGATCCACACCGAAGCAGCATCTCTAACCCAGACCTCTTCCCTGAATTAGACTTCTGTTTGTATCTGCCTCTTCAACTTCTGCACTCAAGTGGCTGGAAGGCACTTCTGCCTTTATATAATCAAAATGATCATTCCCTAAAAATCCACTCTTTTGTTATGCATTTATTTTCACAAGTACCATAGTTTGAAAACAGCAAAAAGCAGAGCATAATTTATATAACCGGCTTTGTTCGTAGATAATTTGGTTGAAGACATGTTCAGATTATTGTCCCTGTAAAGGAAACAGTAATAAAAAGTTTAGCTATGATTTTCATAAAGAGGGAAAAGGCCACTGTTAACTGATACATACATACATACGTACTCACAAGATTTCAATCTAAGAGTTTTCTCCCTTTCTTTTTTTTTGCAATAACATTTTAAATTTATAATCACAGGCTTCATCCTCCACTAAATAAAGAATTCACAAGTAAAAAAGCAGAAAGCCCACTGCTCTAGAGTACATACAGGGGCGATCAACAATAATCAAATCCCAAGATGTCAATTTCACATTAAAAATTTTTTATACTCTCTCTATATGTCATTTTCACATTAAAAAATCTTGGACACTTTCTATACATTACCTACCACAAATCAGAGCCCCATTATTTACAAACTTACAAGCTTTCCATTCATCCCTCTGTTGGACAAAAGCCTTGAGGGGTCATTCTTGACTTCTCCCTTTCCCTCATATAGCCCATCTGTCAGCAAGTGTTCAAACTGAATGTTCAATAATATGTTTTGAATCTGACCACTTTAACTTGTACCATTCTCCACTACCCCACCCCCCACCCCCCGGTCCAAATCATTGTTTCACAGTGACTGGGATACTACCTGAGCCTCCCTGGTTCACCCTGGGAACTTCATCTGTTCCATGCACCTGCCACAGTTATCCCCAGTCCCTGCATAAACACCTCAGTCAAGACCAAGCCCATATACTGGCTTTACAAAGAGCTTCACAATACACCCTCCTATGTTCCATTTATCAAAGCCTTCTTGGGCCACTCCAGAGACATGGTAGGGAGCTCCTGCTTCAGTGCCTTGCAAGTCTTCCTCCTTAACCTAGGGTGTTGTGGTTCCCATGGGCCATCCCTTCCTATCCTTCAGCTCTTCCCTTGAATGTCACCTGTTCCTTGAGGGCCTTCCAGAAAGCCCTATTTAAAATCTTGAGCATCCTCCCACTATAGACAATCTATAGCCTCCATCAATCCTTTCTTCAATTCCTAATACTTGCTATCTTCTAATCATATTTACTCCTTTGTAATTTGTTTCCTACTGGTATGCAAGCAGCAGGAGTGTGAGGATTTTTGCTTCTTTAGTTGACTGTTGTATTCCCAATGCCAAGAACAGAGCACTCTTGGATGCTTTGCTTCTCCTTCCCAACCCCTGTAGAAGGCCAAGAACACTCTCAGAGGATGTATAAACAGACCATACGAGGCATGCTCCATGTGGGGCGGGGAGCAAGCTGCAGAGGACACAAGGTGACAACACAGGTAAGTTGGTGGATGCAATTCCCATGTCCAAACAACCTTACAGAAAACAATTACTGAAATACAAGCAGAAAATTCAGCATGTCAGATACAGTTATAACCATGTGGGTCTCATGGAATGCAGAGAAATTTGATGGTGAAGAAATCCAAGGGTGAGGAGCCCCAATCACACATTTACACATAATGACGTGTTCATGGAAATCGCTTTCTAATTACACAAATGAATTACACAAAACTTGCACATAGACCAGTTAAACAGAGCATAGTGCATGTAGAAGAGCATTCAAAGAGCACTGCCTATATTTTTGCAGTGTCCCTGACCCATTACAGAAGCACATGACATGATAAGTGTTAAAGCTAACACTTACTTGGGGAGCCTCAGAAGAGGAACTGTTCCAGTGAGAAATCTTTGATACCTACCTTGAGGAGTGTTCACACATTTGTGTGCATGTGTGCATTCATATATGTACACACACATACACAGATACTACTTCTATTTATTTACACATTGTACATTGGGGGGGTGGAGACAATCTGCCAAGTCATGTAGTGACCCTTTGACTAAATGAAAAAATTTTAAGCAGGATAAACATGAAATAATCAAATATCCCAGTTGTGCTGAAGAGTGCTAGTTTATTTATTTTTGTTTCTCAACCTAATTGTTAATGCTACAGCCCCTCCTCTATCTAAAACGTGTTTCAGTTTGAACAATAAATTATCTGTGACTTTGCTTAAATGGCTATTATCTCGGTTATGGAATGTTAAACTTTGGCAATGAAGCTGGCAAAATTAGTGCTGTAATTTGCCAATAAGGATACAGGTGGTCAAACTGGTTAAATCACCCTTACAGAAAAGTCATGAACCTGGCAATGAATAAAATGAACAGGGAACTTTCAATAATCCAAAAAAAAAAATCTGCTCTGTTCCTCCAAATACTTGTGGATTTTCCATTCATTCAGCTTGCCAGGATCACTTGAGACAACAGAAAATCCTCCTGCATTCCAGTATAGAATTTAAATGTCACCAATAACCATGAGAAAAGTCTCACACATTTTATCTGTTCATATTTATATTGTCTCTGCCTTGTTAGACAAAAAAGTAGAGGTTGGGCTTTGCATCAAAAGTATTTACTTAAAAATAAATACAAAAAGGAAGATACTCATTCCACCCAAGTCCCCCTCCCACTATCAAACCTGGCATTGTTAGGGGCAGTGCCCCTTATAGAATTGAAAACTTGATCCCAAGAATTCAACAAAAACCCAGGATCCCCTGTCACACACCTATCCTTTCTTCTCCCAATTAACAGTAGTTCTTATTCTTACCCGGTGAGGAAGTCAGTGGAGGAACTACTGTGGATAAGGGCGAGAGAACAGTCAGCAGTCACCCAGACAGCACAGGTGCCTACCTGCCCCCCTACAGTACAGCTCCTATCTCCTAGGGGCAGCCCTAATCTCCCACCCCAAACATTCCCAGCAAGTGCTGGCCCATTTACACACATCCCTACCACTGTGTGTCTCAGAGTTCAGTCTCATAGATGGCCTTATGACGGAGGTACTCTTCTAAGCACTGAAGAGCGTTGTCATCCACCTTTGGGTCAAATTTGTTGGCCAACAGGTGATGGTTCTGCAATAGCCAGTGCAGGTCCCCAGCCCCATAAATACAGACAGCCCGCTGATGGACTCCAGAACAAGGTGCATAAGGTGCCCCCTTCTTGACATCTCCCTCGTGGCCCTGCCACTTGACAAGTCTGGCAATGGCAGTCATGTCTGAGGTGTCGAACTTGCGGTGCCAAGGGGTGAAGCCAGGCATCCATGGTGCACGCTGCAACGTTGCCCAGAGGTGTTCGTCTGGGCTGTAGGTATCTTGGACCCACTCAATCAGTTCTTGGGATTTGGGGTTCTTTATGACATGTTTTATGAAGTCTCTAGAAGCCACAAAATAGGCACTTCCCGTGAACATAGTTACATTATAAGGTGGAGGGTCTTTCTTCCTGTTGGTTATGTACAATGTGTCTTTCACTTCATAGTGGTATTTCCAGCGGCGCCTTTTGCCTTCAGTAGGCACCTCCGTCTCCATACTATTTTTCCCATTCAACAGCTTGAAGGCCTGGACCATTTCAGCGTTGGTCTTTATAGGAAAGTCTGTACCACACGTGTTCAGGAAGTATTTCCATGGCACCGGGCTCTGTAGTAAGTCTTCCATGCAATTCAGGTCAGCCTGTACCCGGAACCAGGAGGCATAAACTACAGAAACCAGCTTACTCGCTATGAAGACATTGGGGAAGCATGAAGTAATGGCCTCCACAGCTTTTTTGAAATTTTCTGGGGATTTGGTATCCACATGGACACAGTATATGTTCTGAGGGGCATACAGAGCTCGCAGCAACCTCTCAAAGTTTTCAATCTTCTCATGAACCACCATAGAGTAGGCAATTGGGAATTCCAACTCCTCTTTGCTCAATGGGAACTGGATGAACTTCCTCTCCTCCTTGAAGCGCTCGCAGTCTCTGGTCAGTTCGAGGTAGTGGTCAGGCGTGAGAGGTTCCCGCTTTTTCTTGACCTCCAGGTTATTCAGAACAGCTTGGATCACTGCCTCCTGGTCCCCACGGATGATCCCCGAACAGTTGATGGTGCCTTTTGCTGGCAGCTTCAGGGACCTGTACAAGATGTCCCTACAGTACCGGCTTCGAAAAGCCTTGGAGTCCAGGTCCAGGTGCTCAAAGTCACAGCTCCATCTGAGAGAGACTCTCAGTGAGACGATGGCCAGCAGGAAATAGCACCCCAGGACCCACAGGTAACACGGACGGCAGAGTTTGTTCCACTGAATCATCTTCATGGGATGGGAGAGTGGTGGAGGAGTTTGGACACAGGGAAGGAGGAGGAGGTTGGAACCCTTTGACAGAACAAAATGCCTCTCATTATAAACAGTCCTAGGAACATGAAGTTTAACTCCAAATTGAAGGCAAATGTATATTTATCCTCTGGACAGATACCTGCAGTAAAGCCCTGCCTAGGGCATTTATACCTGGCTGCATGATGGAAATCTAGAAATTAACCCTCTCAACCAGCTGACAGCCCTGACATCAGGATTTGGCTCCACTCCAACCACCCCAATTGAAAGGGAAGTAGAACTGAGCAGCTACTGACGTAAAGATGCAATGAGCAAGAGGAAGTCCCCACCCTTTATTCCTCATTCTTATTCCCACCCCTTACCATCCTAAAAGGTAGATATTATATGGGGTCTGGAATTTCTGATCGGACTGGAGAAAAATAGCAATGAAATCCAGACTCAGCACCAGTGCTAGCAATCTCAAAGTCTTCTGACAAAGAAAACCACATTTACTTGGAAATTCACAGATTCAGATACTTTTTACCACATGCAAATGTAATTCGTTGGTCTAACGACAATATATAGCTACCCTTTTTCAAAAAATATTGAGAATGTGCAAGCAATATTAACCCCCCAAAAAGTAATCATCACACACTTCAGTAAATTCAACATAGATGTATATAGGGACACAAGCTGCTGCTGTATGTATGTAATATTTTATGAGTGCCTGCTATGAGCCAGAAACACTTCTTTACTCATCCCATTTCATCTTCACCACCAGTGTGAAATGTCAAATGATAGGCTTCTTTTATAGATTAAAATCAGAGGTCAAGGAACTTGTCAATTATCACCTATGTTCTAAGAATTATACAAATCAAATCTGGGATTATTACTACCCTTTCCCCCTTTTTGTCTGAAAATCTACTGTTTGTTCCACCTATCTTTAAAACATAACACGGAGAACTGACTACTACTAAAGAGAGCAAGTCACCAGGAGACCTGAAAAGGTTCATGGAAAATGGAACTAAAATTCATTTTGATGTAATAATTTTCTAAATCCAGGCATTATTTTTATAATATAATATGTATTTCTATGAACTTTCTGATGCTCTTACTGTGGCAGGAAAAAATCCTAGGAAGAGAGTTCAGGATGTGACAGACATTTCCAACAGTAACTACTTTCCCTTGTTGTACCTCTCTTGTTTTCTGTTGATAGGATAATTTTTTAAATTTTTACCTTAAATTTTGAATTTTATGGTACAATTCTGTATAGTCTGAGATTCCCCTCCCTCCGATTCCCACCCCCTGACTGATTTCCCCCATACTGTCACAACAGTACATTCCTTCATAAAGAGTTACAATTCTATCAGTTTGCTCTCTAAGTGTGCCCCGGCATTGCTCATTGTACCTCTTTCAAAGCCTCAGACTGTATCCTCTTTAACAACAATTTGAATTGAATTCTAAGAGAAATAAAAATTCAAAGTTACAAAACAAAAGTCTCACCTTTATGTCTTGCTGATTTAGGAAGATCTCTTGCCAGGATGTGACTCTGTTTGCAAGACTAGCTGGGTTCCAAAGAAGTCAACTGGAGATCCTATCTCCTCATGTTCCAACTCCCCAAAATGTATTTTTCTGATATTCACAAGACATCCAACTGTCTCGGGTTCCTCTTCGGTTTCTGAAAGTAGAGGGCAGCATGTGGTTGTATCACTCACCACTTGGCTTGCTACTCTCAGATAAGCAAGAAAACTCAATACACCATCCAGGAGCGTACTCTCAAGCATGACTCACTCAGGGAAGTGAGGGAGATGGGAAAAAAAAAAAAGAGTGCTGACAATATCTAAGAAGGCAAGCAGGAATTTCAGCCAGGACAGCCCACTGTGGAATCTGTACTCTGCTGTCCTGAAACGAGGCCTAGTCACCTGTCCACATTAGAGCAGAACTCACGACTTCTCCTTCAGCCAGGAAGGACAGCAAGACACAGCTGTGGCCCTGCCTTCTTTCCAGAGCCCCGCTGCCATGCCTCCTGTTCCCTCAACATTACACCAGTGAATCACTACAAATACTCCTTTTCTTTGGTCATTTCATTTCAATAAAAAGGCAGATCATGGAAACCAGAATTCAAACTCCAAAGACAGGTCCTAAAAAAATAATGTATCTGTCTTAACAAGACTGTTAGCCTTAACTTTAGAAAGTCCCACAAGAGCACCAGAGTTCGGCTCTCACTGATGTCTAGAGTGTAGAGTTCTCAGCAGTCTCAAGACTGGATCTTCAAGGAGAGGCCCAAGGAATGGGCTCAATGATCCTGCGCAGAAAATGTCTTTTTTTCAAAGCTGCTCCAGCGCTCCACTCCCAACCAGTCCTCCAATAAAGCAGCATTCCTGGCCAAATATCTGCACACAGGAAATTTAATGTAAAAAAACTTTACTAGATATCAAAAGGGGGTAAGTGAATTGAGGTGAAGCAATCCTAAATTATTCAAGGAGAACCAGTTGTTAGAAGAAGCTACCCATCTGGAGGTTGGGGAAATTGAAAATTATGACATTGAAAATGTGGGAGCAAGGGGCCCACACAAAGCTAAAACTCAGATCCCCAAAAATGAGGTCAGGCCAAGCCTGAGCTCTCTGACACGAAAGCACAACCCCCTAGATACAGCCACACGCGTGGGAGGCAACGGGGGTCCTCACTGCAGGCTGGCTCAGAGCAGCTACATCAAAGAACCGCAGCAAGAAGGGGTGAGCAGGCGTTGGCATGGAGACGCTCAGAGACAGGAAGTGGGCAGAAGGCAAACAGGAAGTCCCACCTCTTGCTTGGAGGTGCCTGCTAGGGAGCTACTGGCAAATCAGAAGCAAGGTTTGCAGAGTCCCACATACCCTATCGCGTGGGCTTCATCTGAATCCTGGTGGTGGAGAGACCATGTTTGCCTGCGATTGCCTTCTCCGCGTACGAAGTGCTTACGCTGCTGCTGCTCCTCGCAACGGAGGGAATTGAGAGGGTTTCCCTCGCTTTCTGGCTGTGTTAGAAGTCACCGCAGCACGGGCAGGAGAGCCATGTCGTGTCTTCTGTGCCTCTCCAGGCGGCACTCCCAGGGCTCCATCACCCGGCAGCTTGCTGTACTTGGCCTCTCTCCGACTGTTCATGGCTGATCTCCCTGGGAGAAAGAAACGTTCAAGCAGAAGTCTGGGCTCCCATCTGGAACAATTCCTTCCACTGCTTCGCGTCTGACTTAACTATGGTGGGTGGGGCCTCAAGTCCTACCGTTCTAAAAATCACATAGAAAGTGTTTCAGTAAAGAGACATTTTAAAGGTGTTTTGGCAGTAACCAGGACAGGTGTGTCCACTCTTAATAAATCTATGCTTTAAAGCCTTTTAAAATGTCTTGTTGAAAGGGCAGAACTAGCTCTGAATTCTGGATGTGCCACTTCCTAGCTGTGTGATCTTGAACAAATGCTTTCGTTAATCTATGCTTCCATGGCTTTCTTTGCATAGCAGGAGTTAATACTAATACCCACTGCATAGGATGGTTGAGAAGATGAGAGAGAATGGTGAAGGATTCTGCTGTGTGGAGCCTGGCATGGTCAGTCCCCCCTTTGGTTACTGTTAAGTAGGTTCCAGTCCCAGCCACAGGAGGCCTGTCTTCTCACACAGTAACTCAACAAGAGCTACAAAGAGTATGGCTGTACCCTGGACCCAGCCAGGCCAGCTGATGAGGCCTGTGATGGGATTCAAGAGAGGATGCAAATCTCACTCCTTCTCTGTGCTCATAAAAACGGACCCCATTGCAGATGGCTTCTGTCGGCACCCCAGAGAGAAGCAAAGCAGGGCTGACCCCAGGGAGGGACGGGAGCCAGCCGACATGCAGGGGTGAGGCAGGCATTGAGAAAAGCAGCACGTCCACCCTTTACTCCCATGCTGGTCAGGAAGAGGAGTTGGCAGGAGGGCAGAAGGGCCCATTCTCAGCTTACCTGGGTTCTGGAGGCAAATTTCAACATAGAGTTTCAGAAAGTGGAGTGTGAAGCCCTTCTTCAGGATTCCTTGTTCCGCTGGCTGAGGATCAAATGCAGGGCCTGAGGAGCCCTGAGGCATACTTTCCAGGGATTTAGGATGACAGGAAGATATTTAGATGTCTCCAATCCTGGAACTATGCCTGCATTCACCTTCTTTAAGTAACCAACATAACCATGTAACTGGCCAGCATTCCCAGGGGCTCTTGCCTAAGCTGTGCCTGTAGAAACACTCCGACAGTGGGGTAAGCTGCGAACAGAAAGCAACTGATTTTGGTTGGCCATGCCAGGAGCAACTTTATCCCATAAGTAAAAACCAGGTTCCTGGACAGGGTAGTCTAGTGGCTAAAGTCCTCACCTTGCACACACTAGGATCCCAAATGGGCACCAGTTTGTATCTTGGCTGCTCCACTTCCCATTCAGTCCCCTGTTTGTGGCCTGAGAAAACAATCGCAGATGGCCCAAAGCATTAGGACCTGCACCCGCATGGGAGACCCAGAAGAAACTGTTGGCTCCTGGCTTCAGATTGGCTGAGTTCTGGCCATTGTGGCCGCTTGGGGGAATGAACCAGCAGATGAAAGATCTTTCTCTCTCTCTCTCTTCTCTCTGTCAATTTGACTTTCCAATAAAAATAAATGTCGTTTGAAAAAGAAACAAAACAAATTCCTTGAGTAAAGGAGACACAGATTTATAAATTTGCTTTTAGGGAAGTCCTACTTTTTCATTACATCTTAGGGGGGTTTTGAGAAGAGGTGGCATGTAAACCCACTAAGTGATCATGTAAGTTCCAGGCTCAGTTGGGAAGTCAGCTTCAGCCAGGCTGGAGCTCATAGTTTCTTATCAAAGGGAGTTCACCATGGAAATGTGTCATGGTTCGCTCAGCTATTCTAAGGATGGCGAATTAATTTGCACAATGATTAAAGCAGAGCTGTGTCATAACACCTTGGGCAGGGAGAGTTGTTAAAAGCAAAATTAAAGAATGAGGAACTGTGAGTTTTCTCCAGATGACTATTGCTGTGATGTTTGAAGGGCAGAGAGAGAGAAATCTCTTCCCTACTGGTTTAGTC